CAGGGGCTCACCTGAGGTTTGACCTTGGCCTAATCTGAACTCCACCTCCACCCACCCCCTGAAAGGTATCGGTGTGTGGTTTGCAGCCAGTCCAATCAGTGTCTCTGATTCTATCAGTTCCGCAAGGGGTCTTACGGTGTGATGTGGCAAGTTTCTTTTCCTCCATTGGTCATTGATGATACAGGCCTGGGCCCCTGTGTCCCACAGCGCTTCAACTGGAACTCCATCTAGCTGACATTGGACAATGCATCTCTTACCGATGAGGTTCACCAGCTTTGCTTCACCCCTAGGTGACAAATAACAAACGGGTGTGCCCAGCGGTGTGTTATCAGGGGTCTGTGTTTTCCTGTTGGGACTAAGAGACACATCCTGGGCTACTGAGGGTCCCCGCTCAGCAGCCCTCTCCAGTTTCCCTGTTGTTCTCTGCTCCGTCGACAACCTCTGGAGAGGTGACCCTCTTGTCCACACTTGTAACAATGTCTGCAGGACTCACCCATTTGGGCCTGTTGGCACGCCCTACATCCACGGGGTCTTCTCTGAGTCATCGCTGGACCTGTTAGATTCGTTCGTCTGGCCTCCACTGTCTCTAGTACTATCTTTTTCATTTCTTGTACTTCTGCTTTCAGCCCTTCTAGGAGCTGACTGGTGTTTGTGTCTTTTTCGGGACTGGGCCCCACATTCTTCCTGCTCTTTATCTTGTCGCCTTTGTTGTCCATGTCTCTCTGTTCTGCATTCTCCTCAACTTCTTGCCTGAGAGAAAACGGAAGATCTGTCTGCACAGTATTAAGTCTGGGAGGTCTGTTCACGACTGCTTTCCTTAACTTTTGTTGCCTCTCCTGTTCTAGGTTTGCAGCCTCACTGATTCGTTCAATTAACACCTCGTCTGTCACCACCACGCTGCTCAGGTAAGGCTTGAGTTGAAATTTCACTGCATCACTCAACAGCCCTGTCTCCACAGACCGAAGAAATTTCCTTTGGATGAGCTCTGGGCTGAACTTTTCACTTTCCTCCTCTTCTCCAACTTTCCAGAGTAACTTTTCTTTCAGTTCAATTGCTCGGAACAGAAAATTCTGTGCAGATTCTTTTGGGTCTTGTGAGATATTCATCAGCCGGTGCAGAAGGTCAGAGGATGAATCCACTTTAAAATGTCCCCTGAGGATGGTCTTTAGGGTGGAGAGCATCAATCCTCTTTTTATTTCCAACATTTCCCTCAGATGGAGGCCTGGACTTATCGCACGAGTGACCGCTTCAATGATTTCTGTTTCTGAATGTCCTTTCCGCTGGCCAGACTCCATCTGGTTGATGAGGCTGGTATAGGACAGTTTGTCTTTCTGCCCCGCCTCCCCAATCTGTCCACATATCCGAAAATCCCGTCTCAGCGTCACTTCTGGCAGCGTGGACGTCCTCGGGTCTTCCGCCTGGGTTTTGGTCCTGAGTTTCTCTTCGAGTGCTCCAATCTCTCTCGCCAACACCTGTTTTGTTTCATTCTGCTCCTGCTGCAGCTTATCATATTTCTCTTTCAAAAAATCCAGCTCGCTTGTCTCATCCACCTTAGCCTCCGACATCCTTGGGTCTGCTTGTTTCAATGTGACGACAAGAGATAGGAGTCATCCTCCTCCTGTATGTGATCCAAAGTTTCCTCAGCCAACCGGATCAGGCTGCGCTGCAACTGGCTTGCAAATCCTCCTCCCGGTTCTGAGCACTTCAGGTGTTCACACATCGTGATGAGCTCTGACTTCTCCAGAGTCAGCAACGTCCTGCTTACTTCATCTTGTAGTTGCTCCATGTTTCTTTGTCTCGTTGTTGGTGTTCCAGGTTCGTCTCCTCCGGATGGACCATAGACTGGGACACCCTCCTGGCTGGCTCGCCAAAATATGTAGCGGGGCGCAGAATGAATTCCCTAAGGTTCAAACTGGTGCCACATATTTGCCTGTAATTACAGAAATATACACATTCGAAGTGTTTATTTTCTTTACGGTTACACAGCGTACATTTTGCAATCTCACAGAAGCAAGTCTCGTTTCCTGTTTTCTTTTCTCTTACATTCATTGCATTAACCACATGAACGAGCGGTGGGGGCTCCCTCGCACGAGGGTTCATATCCTCACATTAACATTCCCCCGTCGCCTTTATATTACTGCAATGACAACATGCTAACCGGCTCCTCTTACTACGACCCGGTTTTCGCAACCATAACAAACTCTAACACAACGTCCCAAAACACAGTAACAGTCAGATAAAACAGTCTAATCTGGTATATCGCCAGCTTACCTGTAATTACAGAAATATACACATTAGAAGTGTTTATTTTCTTTGCGGTTACACAGCGCACAGCATTTTGCAATCTCACAGAAGCAAGTCTCGTTTCCTGTTTCAGGTCACGCGGGACCAGCTTCACCTGTCTGCATTTTCGCGGTGCGCTATTGACACCTACTGGCTATCTCCAAACATCTATGCTCAAATAACAAGTTATATGCAATCAGCATCAATTCAATGAACATGTCATTCACTGTGCCACACCAGCATTTATTTATGATTCTGATAAAGGTTATTTTAGAAAATTTTGTTTGTACATTTTTATGTATTTGTAGTTGTGAGATCCATCCAGCCATCATCTATCCTCCTTGTCCTGTTGAGGGTCACGAGGGGTGGGATGGGAGGTGGGGGACTGAAGCCAATTCCAGCCGGGTGAGTGGTCGGGGTACACCCGGGACATACTACCAGTCAGTTAAAGGGCTGGCATACAGAGACAGAAAACAATTCACATTCACAATTCAGAGTCATCAATCAATCTAACCTGCATGTCTTTGGACTCTGGAAGGAAGACGGAGTAGCAGAGAAAACCCACACAGACACGGGGAGAACAGTCAAAGTCTGCACATAAAGGCCCTGGTCAGCCACAAGGTTAAAACACGGAACCTTGCTGTGAGGCAGCAGTACTAACCATTGCACCACCTGGATTGCAGTTGTCAGATCTAGATCCTTAAACTTGAGGATGCAAAGTTGGTAACATTTGATTTGAGGAAAACTGATAATCTCATTTTTTACCTAAGCAATTTGAAATCAGTTGTTATTGTCTTCCCTCTCAAAGCCTTTATATATACTGTAGAATCTGAACATTTCCAGTGGTGTTATCAAGACAGCATTCACTGTGGCAGACAGCAGTGCCTCTTTGCACCACCCACAGATTCAACCCAAGGATGCTCTGATGATTAGGCTGAAAGCAGCTCAAAGGCCTGCATGTTTTTTCTTATTATTCAACAAAGAAAGATGATCTCATGACATAACAATTGTACATATAATGGCTTTGCTTTTTTTTTTTGCTTTGTGTTCCCCTTTGCTGTAGCTCCCATTGTCATGTCTGGTTTTGCCTTCACAGAGTGGCGGTCAGATGGAGATAGAGGAAGGCCAGCTCCAGTCAGACACCCAGCCATCACCACAGGTGCAACTCCGAGGAGACCAGTCATCTGATCAAGGCCAACTCCAGACTGCTGCTTCAGCTGAGCCGCTGTTGAACTGGGACCAGAAGGAAATTCCAATGAATGTCCAGGACAAGGGAGAACCTGCTGCCCAGGCCCAGCCGCAGGCCAAACTTCTGTGGAAGCCCATTCCCCCTCTGCTGCCCAACCCTGAGCCCCACAGGAGCACTACCACTGAGACCAGGGACCAGAGCTGCCAGACTGATGAGCAGTGTCATCAGACTAGCCCTGGGAGCCGTGTTCATAACACAGGTGGGTAACATGTCCTCGTCTTCTCCTACTTTGTGCTGCTATGGCTCATCCACATGCAGGCTAAAACTTAGCTGTCAGAGCCATGTGTAGTTTCACTACATCTGAGCAAGTCTGGCTCTAAATGTAATCAAATGGCTTGCTGTCATACAGAAAATGGCAACTGATTAGAAGTTCTGCCTTTGCCTTTGATCATTACAGTGTTCATTGTTGGTTTGCCTAAGTTATCAAATATTCATATAACTTTTATTTGGAACTTGATTTCATTACATTAGCCTTTGTCTAACTATTGCGTTCTTGACAGCTATTCATGTCAGCTGTTGTGGCGGACATTGATTGAACAGACCTAACAGAGTAGTGTTGCCATTATGGTGGCGTAAGTCTTTCCGTTGAATGCTGGGATGGTTGTTTCCGTCCCTTCTTCCGTCCTTTCATCTTTCCTGCACAGGTTCTTTGCTGTCTGTCTGTCTCCTTGACTCTCCTCGTTCTTTCTGTGCTTTCTTTAAAAACACATAGATGCCTTGATTCAGATTCACATGTAAATCCTGCTACTGTCAGTTCATTTATAACTTTGCTGCCAAGAAAACAGTTGCACCACTCATATTAAAAGGAAACTGTTTATGCAGACTGACATTTCTGAATGGCCGATCTTTGAACTTCTTGCAGAGGGAGGGTCTAGAGGTCACTGGGTCACAGTTTGCCTGGGAGAGATGTGGGGGGGATGGGAATCGGCACACATTAATACATAATCTGCATCTCTCTCTCTGTGGAACCCCATCACACAGTTTCCATTTGCATTTCTAACACTCCTTCCTTCTGTGGCCATGTCAGTATGTTTGCTGGCCTTTCTAGTTTATCTGTTTCTCATTCACCTACTTAGACACACAAACCGCTCTCCTTACCATGTGGTTTGAGTTCCTGTGTTTGTGTGTGTGTGTGTGTGTGTGTGTATGTGTGCATGTGTAATGCTAACAAGGCTTTAAATAAGCAAGGTCTAGACTTCTAGCCTTGTTATCTAACAGTCTTGGAAATTACAAAACCACAAAAAACCCTGAAATTCTGTCTAGTTAAAGAAATAAAACAGAAAAAATTATGTATTAACAAAAGATTGTCCTCTGATTGATCAGAGCATAAACATAAATTTCAGTGGCTAGCTGAAATTCCAAACAAACAGTGGACATTTACCACAGCTGGAGACAACAACAGTGTTTTATTTGGTGCTTTTTCCTAGTCATTGCTGTTACAGTATGATCTTTATATTGCAACAGAAATTACAGTGCGTGTTCTCTGTCACCTTCTTTCACATCAATATAACGTGAGAAATAAGACTCAAGCACTGAGATGAGTATGTGTTTGTGAGTGTAATTGGTCTGCTCTTTTGGCGGTTTGCACCTCTTTGTTTGTAGGCTCAGCTCCATAGTATTGATGCAAAAATGAAGTTGTTGCAGTATTACAAAAAAGCATGAATCAGACATATTGAGAGCAGTTTACCTCCAAACAATCATCTCATTGGCCCATTGTACATCAGTGAGCCACAGTTGGCTTGTATCAATAATGGAGGAACAAACGCCTCACTCCTATGATTTTATGTTTTCTTCTTCCCCCCTAACAATATCTTTGTTTTAACTATTAACATTAACACAGACATTAAATATTTAACACGTAGACGAGCCTAACATGTATTTTAAAATCAATAAATATATAATTAAATTTAAAAAAATGTTTAAAACCCATTAGAAAAATAAAAACTCAACTCATATACACAAACCAGACACCAGCTGTCCTTCCCATCTCCATACATCATTTTATTTATCTGCGTGTGTGTATATGTGTGTATGTACATATATATATATCAGTGGCGGGGCGGGGGGTTTGAAAGGGGTATTTTGCGTATTGATGGTGAATACCATTTTTACTAAAGCAAGAAACCCAGTTAAGACAACTCCAAATCTCTACACTACAACCGCAACTGTGCCACGTACATCATCTGGAGCAGTTCAGAATCAATATTTATCTAATAACATGACAAAAAAATACAAAATTTAAATTAAATACATCATACTCACCAGAGATGCTATTTATTTATAGACAAAATCCATCCTCATTGTGGTGATCCCCGCATTTCTGTTTCAGTAAGTTCTTTTCTAGTTTTGCTCTGACAACCAATCAGAGGACGGAAAAATGTTGACGTTATTGTAGACCAGCTAGCTGGCCCTGTGAGGCAAATTTGAAATCTGATTGGTTAAAGAAACAGTCCCATTGCTAATATAGTTAAGTTACATCGGCCAGCACTACTGATTCTGAAGGCCCTGGGCAGATTAAATTGACATGGCAACACATACAGTGCCTTGCGAAAGTATTCGGCCCCCTTGAACTTTGCGACCTTTTGCCACATTTCAGGCTTCAAACATAAAGATATAAAACTGTAATTTTTTTGTGAAGAATCAACAACAAGTGGGACACAATCGTGAAATGGAACGAAATGTATTGGATATTTCAAACTTTTTTTAACAAATAAAAAACTGAAAAATTGGGCGTGCAAAATTATTCAGCCCCCTTAAGTTAATACTTTGTAGCGCCACCTTTTGCTGCGATTACAGCTGTAAGTCGCTTGGGGTATGTCTCTATCAGTTTTGCACATCGAGAGACTGAAATTTTTGCCCATTCCTCCGTGCAAAACAGCTCGAGCTCAGTGAGATTGGATGGAGAGCGTTTGTGAACAGCAGTTGTCAGTTCTTTCCACAGATTCTCGATTGGATTCAGGTCTGGACTTTGACTTGGCCATTCTAACACCTGGATATGTTTATTTGTGAACCATTCCATTGTAGATTTGGCTTTATGTTTTGGATCATTGTCTTGTGGGAAGACAAATCTCCGTCCCAGTCTCAGGTCTTTTGCAGACTCCATCAGGTTTCCTTCCAGAATGGTCCTGTATTTGGCTCCATCCATCTTCCCATCAATTTTAACCATCTTCCCGGTCCCTGCTGAAGAAAAGCAGGCCCAAACCACGATGCTGCCACCACCATGTTTGACAATGGGGATGGTGTGTTCAGGGTGATGAGCTGTGTTGCTTTTACGCCAAACATAACGTTTTGCATTGTTGCCAAAAAGTTCGATTTTGGTTTCATCTGACCAGAGCACCTTCTTCCACATGTTTGGTGTGTCTCCCAGGTGGCTTGTGGCAAACTTTAAACGACACTTTTTATGGATATCTTTAAGAAATGGCTTTCTTCTTGCCACTCTTCCATAAAGGCCAGATTTGTGCAGTATACGACTGATTGTTGTCCTATGGACAGAGTCTCCCACCTCAGCTGTAGATCTCTGCAGTTCATCCAGAGTGATCATGGGCCTCTTGGCTGCATCTCTGATCAGTCTTCTCCTTGTATGAGCTGAAAGTTTAGAGGGACGGCCAGGTCTTGGTAGATTTGCAGTGGTCTGATACTCCTTCCATTTCAATATTATCGCTTGCACAGTGCTCCTTGGGATGTTTAAAGCTTGGGAAATCTTTTTGTATCCAAATCCGGCTTTAAACTTCTCCACAACAGTATCTCGGACCTGCCTGGTGTGTTCCTTGTTCTTCATGATGCTCTCTGCGCTTTAAACGGACCTCTGAGACTATCACAGTGCAGGTGCATTTATACGGAGACTTGATTACACACAGGTGGATTCTATTTATCATCATTAGTCATTTAGGTCAACATTGGATCATTCAGAGATCCTCACTGAACTTCTGGAGAGAGTTTGCTGCACTGAAAGTAAAGGGGCTGAATAATTTTGCACGCCCAATTATTCAGTTTTTTATTTGTTAAAAAAGTTTGAAATATCCAATAAATTTCATTCCACTTCATGATTGTGTCCCACTTGTTGTTGATTCTTCACAAAAAATTACAGTTTTATATCTTTATGTTTGAAGCCTGAAATGTGGCAAAAGGTCGCAAAGTTCAAGGGGGCCGAATACTTTCGCAAGGCACTGTATTCTGCCAGCACCCTGCAGGTCAACAGCACTGGTGGCAGTCGTTATTAACCCCGGCCTCGACCGATCCGGTATGGAGTTCACACTGATGATTCGCATGTTTAAATTTGGCATGTTTTTACGCCGCATGCCCTTCCTGATGCAACCCTCTCTATTTATCCGGGCTTGGGACCGGCGCAGAAGTCACTGGTTTGCAACCCCTGTTGCTGGATTCATAATTGTATATTGTATATACTAGTTACCAAGAGATTTAGTCGATCTTTTTTAAGTTAATATACAAAAAAATCAACATATTTACAGTTGAAGTCAGAAATTTAGGACATGTACTTTATGCATGACACAAGTAATTTTTCCAGCAGTTGTTGATTATTTCAATTATAATACACTATATCACAATTCCAGTGGGTCTGAAGTTTACATACACTTAGCTGACTGTGCCTCTAAACAGCATGGAACATTCCAGAAAATGATGTAATGGCTTTAGAAACATCTGAGGCTAATTGACATAATTTGAGTCAATAGGAGGTGCACCTGCAGATGTATTTTAAGGTCTACCTTCAAACTCAGTACCTCTTTATTTGACATCCCTGGAAAATCAAAAGAAATCAACCAAGGCATCAGAAAAAAATTGTGGACCTCCACAAGTCTGGTTTCTCCCTGGGAGCATTTCCAAATGCCTGAAAGTACCACATTCATCTGTATAAACAATACTAAGCAAGTATAAGCACAATGGGACAACATAGTCATCATATCACTCAGGAATGAGATGTGTTCTGTCTCTTAGAGATGAATGTATTTTGGTTCAAAAAGTACAAATCAATCCCAGAACAACAGCAGAGGACCTTGTGAAGACACTGGAGAAAACAGGTATGAAAGTATCTATATCCACAGTAAAATGAGTCCTATATCAACATAACCTGAAAGGCTGCTCAGCAAGAAAGAAGCTACTGCTCCAAGACTGCCCATAAAAAGTCAGACTACAGTTTGCAGCTGCACATGGGGACAAAGATGTGACTTTTTTTTTAAAGAAATGTCCTCTGGTCTGATGAAACATAAAATGAACTGTTTGGCCATAATGACCATCATTGTGTCATGTCTGGAGATAAAAGGGGGGGCTTTTAAGCACTTAGACTTAGAGCAGCACCCCAACTGTGAGGCACGAGGGTGGTAACTTCTCAGAAAGTTAGAGCTTGGTCGCAAATGGGTCTTTCAAATGGACAATGACCCCAAGTAGACTTCCAAAGTTGTGGCAAAATGGCTTAAGGACAACAAAGCCAAAGTATTGGAGTGGCCATCACAAAGCCCTGACCTCAATCCAGTAGAAATTATGTGGGCAGAACTGAAAAAGCGTGTGTGAGCAAGGATGCCTACAAACCTGACTCAATTCCACCAATTCTGTCAGGAGGATCGGGCTCAAATTCCAGCAGCTTATTGTAAGATGTTTGTGGAAGGCATCCTGAAATGTAGTAAAGTAAAGATAATACAAAAGCAGGTCAGTATATCAAACAAAACACTAAATTCCTACTATCATCGGGACTGTACTTTCTGGTCACTCAGTTTGAGCAACTTTAGGCAAAAATGTTTTCCAATACACATCAATGAATCTCCTTCAGGTCATGTTCTTGGTTCGACTGAGGAAGTGGCAGCATGTGACATCTAAGTTGAAGTGGCAGATGCTTCCCTGTCCATCCACTGTTGGGCTAAGCCTGAAAATTTGTCATCAGCATGCGTCTGCCCCCCTACTCCATGTTTTGCTAAAATCCCACTTGAGTTTCAGTCATCTGTACAAACATCATTGAGAGATTTGGTTTGTGAGAATTGTTTTCATTCTTGTTTTAATGTCTGTGTGCTGTATTTAATTTCTGTTCATATCTTTAGTACAACTAAGGAATACTGATGTTAGAAAGTAAGGATAAATGACCTGTTTTCTCACAGTCATCCTTGAGTGTGTGTGTGTGCGCGCGTGCACACGCACAAGGAGATAATGAGGTCAGAGTGAATCACTGTCTAATACAGACCTTATTGCATCTACCCTTTACAAGCACTTCACTATCCTTTGTGTCTTACCAGGGATCCAGAATTCCCATGTGAGGGTATATTTCTCAAAGCCACTGATGAAATTACAGTATATACTGGCTGTGATACAATGCAACCTCTCACTCTCTAGGTCTCTGTGTGGAACCTGGAGACCCTCCTCTGTTCCAGCAGCCTCTGCAGACCTCCAAATCTGGAATTCAGCAGATAATTGAATGCTTCCGTTCAGGTTTCTTTCTGAATTTTCCATTCAGTTTATTTTATTTAATTTTTTTAATTTATATTCTCCTATCACAGCTTCTGTCCTTTCTTTTGAATGTGCCTGTTGTCTGATTTCACTGTGCTTTGCCACAAGAAACTGATTAGACTTTAGTGGTTTTTCATATGAGAGGAATGGCACAGGAGTGACAGTTCACTTGAAGCTCTATATTTATTTTTATTTTTTACAACCATGTACAAGAATGTTTGTGTAGACCAGTTTTATAAATAACCAGTGCTACCAGTTCATCAGTAAACACCACTTAGAACTTCCTTTATTAAATAACAATAAAACATTGCATTCATTGCTGGAAAGTATTTAATATTACTCAGTAGCAAGAAATGCTTGCTTTGCATTAACATTGACCAAACACAGCAACAGGCTTTATTAGCTCTAGTAGGTTAAACTCCTTTGTTATGCACTGAGCTACTATTGCCAAAAGTATTCACTAAGCCATCCAAATCATTGAATTCAGGTGTTCCAATCACCTCCATGGTGATTGGAACAGGTATATATACAGGTATATATCATCAAACACCTTGGCATGCAGACCACTTCAACAAACATTTGTGAAAGAATGCGTCGCTCTCAGGAACTCGGTGAATTCCAGCATGGCACCGTGATAGGATGCTACCTGTGCAATAAGTCCAGTCTTGAAATTTCCTCACTACTAAATATTCCACAGTCAACTGGTATTATAACAAAGTGGAAGCGATTGGGAACAACAGCAACTCAGCCATGAAGCGGTAGGCCACTTAAAATCACAGAGCAGGGTCAGCGAATGCTGATATGCATAGTGCTCAAAGGTCGCCAACTTTCTGCAGAGTCAATAGCTACAGACCTCCAAACTTCATGTGGCCTTCAGATTAGCTCAGGAGCAGTGTGTAAAGAGCTTCATGGAATGGGGTTCCATGGTCGAGCAGCTGCATCCAAGCCTTACATCACCAAGTGCAATGCAAAGCGTCAGATGCAGTGGTGTAAAGCACACCGCAACTGGACTCTAGAGCAGTGGAGACGTGTTCTCTGGAGTGAGGAATCACGCTTCTCTGTCGGGCAATCCCATGGGCAAGTCTGGGTTTGGCAGTTGTCAGGAGAACGGTACTTGTCTGACTGCATTGTGCCAAGTGTAAAGTTTGGTGGAGGGGGGATTATGATGTGGGGTTGTTTTTCAGGAGTTGGGCTTGGCCCCTTAGTTCCAGTGAAAGGAACTCTTAATGCTTCAGCATACAAAGACATTTTGGACAATTTCATGCTCCCAACTTTGTGGGAACAGTTTGGGGATGGCCCGTTCCTGCTCCAACATGACTGTGCACCAGTGCACAAAGCAAGATCCATAAAGACATGGATGAGTGAGTTTGTAGTGGAAGAACTTGACTGGCCTGCAGAGAGTCCTGACCTCAACCCAATAGAGCACCTTTGGGATGAATTAGAGTGGAGACTGCGATCCAGGCCTTCTCGTCCAACATCAGTGTTTGACCTCACAAATGCACTTCTGGAAGAATGGTCAACAATTCCCATTAACACACTCCTAAACCTTGTGGATAGCCTTCCCAGAAGAGTTGAAGCTGTTATAGCTGCAAAGGGTGGGCCAACATCATATTAAACCCTGTGGATGAAGAATCGGTTGTTACTCAAGTTCATTTGCATGTGAAGGCAGACGAGTGAATACTTTTGGCAATATAGTATATGTACTGTATGTATGTAAAGCAGAATATCAAAGTTTTAAAACTGCTGCTTTTTCTCGTTTCACTTGTTGTGAGCCAGCCATGTTATATATAGCATGATAATCAAAGCTAGTGACTAAGTCTAAGTGCTTGACATTGGCACCGCTCTCATGATTTGCATGGTTATCCCCTGCTGTTGTGGTATGCAGTCATACCACAACACACCACGGTTGCATCCTTACTGAGTCAGTGAAAAAAGGGCAGTAGATACAGTACCAAGGGCATACAGTTCTGAAAGAGGAAAAAGTAATACATGAGAGTGACCTTTCTGTGTGTGTGTAGCAGCACAGGGACTGTCATCTGTAAGTCACATGTAACATGTGCATGTTACATAAAATATGTGTCTGTGCACATAAATCATCAGATTTACAAGTGAGTGAGCCTAACAAAGCATATAATATATGCTGTTATTTAGAGAGTATTTTGACTTAGAGTTTTGTGACCAAATATGAGTCAGATATCCAACAAAACACTGAATATTTACATATGTACAAATTGAAAGAAAGTCGAACACGTCAGTAAACATGCTGAAGACAATGATGGGAGGTTAGGGTTATGATAGTGATGCAAATTGTGAAATCTTATAAAAGGTCAAAGAGATTTTAATTTTGATTTGGCAAATGTTATCAGTTCTTCTCTGCATAAACCCTACTTTCTTAAACACATTTTTGCCAGGGTTTCTTTGTAAAGCTACTCTGATTAGGGTTTAATTATAGTATTCTATATGTATATGATATACTGTATATTTTCAAATCCTTCCTGAAATCACTGAAGGTAATTGTCACTGCTGTTCTTGGTCTTGTAGGTACCAGCCAGCTGAAACACATGCTGCTGAGGGAGGTGGACACCATCTTTGAGTGTAAAATGTGTCGCAGTCTGTTCAGAGGCCTGCCCAACCTCATCACACATAAAGAGTACTACTGCCTATCGCAGCTGCCTGAATCCGACGGTTAGTGACACAGCATATTACTGTAATATGCAGATACATGCACACATATAAACAGGTCAAAAATATTTCTTCATGCACATTTAGACATTTGTAACCTTTCGCCCTGCTCTCAAAGTCCCAAAATCAAAGCACAAACAAAATATACGAAGCACAAATAGTTAGAAACTCACTCATAAAGTCAATAGGCAGAACAGGTAGAACACAAGTTTTTCTGCATGCTGAGAACAGGCAAATGAAACTTGTATAGTCAGAGACAGACACCCTGAACAAGACAGGGATCAGACTGACTTGAGTTAGGCACCCGTACACACCAATTTAGTTTATGGACACAAATCTTTGCACAGAATAATTGATTACTTCTATGCTTCTAAAATTCTCCACATTTTAATTTCATGTTCTGCCACTCTTTCACACCATCTGTCTCCTACTCATTATCATCCTTTTGTCTCCACTATTTGTAATGTGTTTTTTGTTTACCATACTTTCTGGACTATAAGCCGCCACTTTTGTTGCTTCATGCACATGGAAAACACGACGAAATGCATATGACGTAGTTTTCAAGTTACAGGCGATCGATCTGGCTGTCGAAATATCTCATGTTACAACGTGGACACCTGCCGCTATGTACAAAATGTTTTGTTCATCTTAAATTTACTGGGTGTGGCTTATATTCCGGTGCGGCTTATAGTCCAGAAATTACGGTAACACATTCATGTATAAACTCACATGCACGTTGTAACATCTTCAATCCATTAATTATTTTAGTTGCTTAAAGTGCAGTTTCTCCTCTGCTCTCCTATCATATCACAAAGCAAACTGACTTTGATCTTTTATCACTTGTGTTGTCTCTATTTCTCATTAGCCACAGTATGAGTCCATATCTCTACTCTTTGTGGCTTAGAGGTGGTAAGAGCAAAGGAATGGGTCATTTCTGTTACCCAACTTGCCTCTCCTCCTAAAAGACAAATCAACGTCAACACAAACGTTAATCCTATTTTGCTGTTTTGATTGCTTTAAAATAAGCACTTTGTTTTATCACAATCTTCTCTTCATTTGTTTGTGGTCTTAATTAAGTTGTTCCTTGCATCAATGACTTACTTTTTCTCAATCAAGAATCCTAGTGGCTGAAAGTGTATTGTATTGTTATTTTGATAAATGATTTAATTTGTCTTTGTTTTAAACCACTGAGGTGCTGGGCATTAATCGTGTGGGTACTTGTTAAGCAAAATGTTTTTTCTTTTTGTCACCATCCATCCCTAACAGTGGACCTATACAGTCCGCAGTGATAATTTGCGGTCCATTTCCAAAGTACCTAAAATTGAGTACATATTTTTTGTCTGCTGTTGAAAAGACTTAGGAAAGAAACTTGCACATTTACTAAAAGGAGACTATATCACCTGGAGGAGGCTTTAGAGGTGAAAAATAATTGCATTCACTATAAAAGAAAGCTCTGTGCAGATAAATATACGTGCCAAACTAAAAGAGCACACACAAAAAATGTTTCGTAACCCTGGACTCTCAACTATTCAGTTCATAAACAGAGTTACACAAACCAGTCCACGTTCTAACCATATTAAGTGTTTTTCCATTTTGCTTTCTTTGAAGAATTTTTTAATTTATTCAGAAACACAAAAGCAAATTGAAAAGAATGGATGACTGCCCTCTGTGAGATGGTGTTGCCTTCTTCGGTTTTGGTGCTTTCATTTGATGCCTGTGCACAATTTGCATCCTGAAGCAAGCCGCAGTTTGTGTGTTTTGCTCAAAAGATGTTTTGAGAGGACACATCTTCTGTTATTGTACATGCTTTAGCTGTTTTGTGTTTTGTTAGCAAGATAATCTTTCACCTCACTAGAACAAACTGCCATGTCAGGTGACAAGTTCACTACTTGATTTGCCTGTTAGGTTAGATCATGTTCATGATCCATGGCCCAATATCAAGACCTTCTCAAAGATTTTATAAGTAAAACATGGCTGTAGCCTCCAAAGTCACAAATATAGACTCCAAAGTCTCTAACAACTTTCTAGATTACACTTTATGTAACTGATACTGTATAGTGCTGCGCCAGACCAGAGGCCACATAACATCTGTCTAATACATGTACGATGTTTGCTTTAAATTATTTCGGGGGGTATTTGTTTCTAGGTTCGTCAGGTGATGATAGACAGAGTGTAGCCATGAAGGATTTATTGGACGCCATATACCCCAGAGCTGACCGACCAGACTATGTGGTCCGACTGGAGCCCATTCAGACAACCACCAAAGCTGTGTTCCAGTACCTCACCACAGAGGAGGAGATGGCTAGATATCCATCACACACACCCAGGTACCTGGGTCATATGTTGGTGGATGTGCTGCAACCTTTAATGTGTAATCTATTTTATTGCAAGATTTTGACAATACATGCTGCATTTAAACAAATGGCACTTTTACCAATGTTGCTGGTGTCGACTTACATTCTGTACTTTATTTCAATTCTTGTCATCTGAGATCCTTCTTATGTCAGTGGGGTTTTAGGCAGCTCCTAGCCTTCTTTTGGGGTGACTGTGGTTCAGTAGGTAGAGCAGTTGTCTCCCAACCAGAGGGTCGGAGGTTTGATTTTATTTCTTCCACAGTGCCAGAGAGAGTCCGGTAGCTTGGGAAGGAGAACCAGTGGAGAGTGTGGACAACAAACAGGCAAGCCAGCCAGGTGGGCCAGAGAGCCACAGCAGCCCAGGACACAACCAGGGACAGAGGAGATGGGAGGCCGAGGAGGAAGCTAAAGAGGACCAGCCACAGCCTGAGGATGAGGGGTCCACCAGTGGGGTATGGGACTAAGGAATGTCAGTCAAGAAGCACAAGTGAAAAAAGGCTATTTGTAGTGAACATGCAGATGAAGGCAGCACATTGTACATATGTAAACTCATTTTATAAATATTAATCATGGCTTACATATGTTCCACATATTTTTTACTGTTCCACAAAGTCAGTCCCTTTCTCACTGCCCTTTGTTGTCTCTTTCCCATTCAGGTTGAAGATGTGACAATCTCTTGTTGTCTGTGCGGTCAGGACTTTAACTCGCGCCGCAGCATCAGGCGTCACTGCCGCAAAATGCACCAGACCAAACTTGATGAGCTCCGAAAGTTCACAGAGACGCGAACAGTTCCCACAAGTCTGCTCTCAATGGTGAAAGGTAAGTGGTGATTATATATTAATCAGTATTATAAAATATTGATAATAATGAAACTATACTGAAAACAGCTTGTATACAGTGGGTACGAAAAGTATTCAGACCCCCTTAAATTTTTCACACTTTGTTATATTGCAGCCATATACTAAAATCATTTAAGTTCATTTTTTTCCTCATTAATGTACACACAGCACCACATATTGACTGAAAAACACAGAATTTTTGACATTTTTGCAGATTTATTAAAAAAGAAAAACTGAAATATCACATGGTCATAAGTATTCAGACCCTTTGCT